GGGGGCAGATCCCTCGTGAATAGATGAAAGCTCTCCCTCTGGGTCAGTGAGTCCTTTGTTAGCTTCCTAGAGAGCTGGTTGTTAAAAAGAGCCTGGCGTCTCTCCTCTACTTCCTCTCTCGCCCTGTGATCTCTGCACACAGCAGTTCTCCTTTACCTTCTGCCATGAGAGGAGGCTATCGCTAGATGCCCAATCTTGAACCTTCCAACCAGCAGAACCATGAGCTACATAAATGATTTTTTTTTTTAATTCAATGACCCAGCCTCAGGTGTTCCTTGATAGCAGTGCAAATGTCCTAAGACAGTAAGCGTGCTAGCGTGGAAGCCGGGAGCTACTTTGCAGATGGTTTAACAGTCTGGGTGAAGAGTGAGTGACTTGGTCCACACTGGTAGGAGAGGGAGAAGAGGCTGGGTTCAAAGTCTGTTTTCAAGGGGAAGCCAAAAGGATTTCCTGCCGGATTAGCTGTGGTTTAGGGGAGAAAGAAAAGGAGGCAGACCGAGGTTTTTGTCCTGAGTAACTGGGTGAACCAGAGTTGCCATTTGCTCCCCAGGGTTGGAGCTGGGGCCTGATGGGAGGTGTCTGGGAGGATTCTTGTGAAGAGGCATCCAGAGGTCAGTTTCGGACATGCTAAATTTGCTATGCCTACTGGTCTTCCAAGCAGCTGTGCTGAGTAAGTGACAGAATATTCAGATGTGGAGTTGAGTGGCAGAGTCAGGACGGGACCTAGGGCAGCTTTCAGCGTAGAATTGCTGCAAGAGCCATCCACAGGACCGCTTGAGGTCATTTGGAGAGAGAGGAGTGGTCAGAAAATGATGCTTTAGAAGTGGCAGGAGAGTTTTTGGAGTGGGGTTCTCAAAGGCAATGGGGAAAGAAAGGAAGGACTCTCATCTTTCTGCATTTTCATCTCCTAGTGTCAACTTCCCACCTTCTCAGCTTTGTTCTTGGGAAAGTGTGTGCATTCCTATGGGGTGTTTCTGGAGAATAGAAAAATGAGAGGGGATGTTTCTGTTTATGTAACCACTTGGGAAACAGTAGAGCTGCTTAGGAAATGTATAGTATGGTTATTTGGATGCTACCTTCAGGGCTGGCCTTTTCCCGTAACTGCCCATTAATTAGGGAGGAAAAACCAAACAGCTCTAGCTCTTTGATACTAATGAGTGTTTAACATGGAAGCCTCATTGAAGCAGCAGTCAATGATTCTTCTGATGGATTTATTCTCTTCCACAGCTCTATGGAATTAGAGAAGTTAATAGATCACTTTTAAGAAGGAAGGTTTGATTGTAATTCTCAGCTGCCGCTGAATATTCATGGTTCCTTTTTCCTTCTTGCTTTGTAACATTTCTTCATTCATTTTTGGAGATGAGCATTTGACCAGCATCTCCTACTTGGGGATTCTAATGTATGTCTGGGGACAGCTTCTCCACCCCTTCCAGGGAGGCTGGGCTCTCATCCCCAGCATCAAGTAATGTTTGACTTGGAACTCCTCGTCCTATCAAACAGATGTGTGTGCAAATAAAGGGAAACTGCAACAATATGCTAATCTCTAAGTGAATCGGGAGGCAATGGCATGAACCAGAGAAAGCTGTAGACTTGGAGTCAGAGAGTCTTATTTTTTTTCTTATTTTTTTCCCCAGCATATTGTGGGGGTACAAATGTTAAGGTTACATATATTGCCCTTGCCTCCTCTTCCCCCCTGATTTTTTAAAATATTTTTTTAATGACCAAGGGTGAGACACTTGACATCTATAAACATAAAAAGAAAGCATAATAGCTGCTGTGCCTCTACCAGGGGTTTGTCGTGGAGGTCACATGAGACAACCATAAAACAAATAGCACTTAGCAACTACTGACTGTGGTTCAGACACTGTTGTCAGCATTTCAAACATTAACTCATTTATTTAATTCCTGCAACAGTCCATGAGAGAGTTATTCTAACCCTATCATTCCCAATTTACAGATGAGGAAGCTAAGAAAGAAGGGGGCAAGTAACTTTCCAAAGTCACACAGCTAGTAAGTGGCAGGCCTGGATCTGAAGTCAATGGTGATATTTAATTGTTTGTGAATTTTGTCACTTATTTCTCTATAAACTGTACGGTGCAATAGTCTCAAAAATGCAATAGTAATGGACTTTCTTTTTTATCTACAATATACATTCTTTAAGTCATTGGAAAATAACTAATTTACATAGGCTAAAGAGTCATATTTTTAAAAAAATTAGACATGGGATCAATCCCAGGACTGTCTGGCTATCTGTGGGGTCACTAGGCTGGCTCCTTTAACTTAGGTTCATTGTCATCAAACCGTGGCCCCATTCTCTAGTCTGGCAGCTGGACCAAGTATATAGTTAGATCAACTGATAGAGCTATTTGGTCAAAAGATCAAATTATCTTGCTGGGATAATAGCAAACATTCGGATGCATAATATCCATAATCAGCTAATCTGATGTTCCTGGGTAGCGGGGCAACACAAGATCTGATAGCTTTGAAGTCAGCCAAGTAGCACTGATTGCCTAATTCCATAGGCTTTACAGATGATGATTGTTATTTCTGATAGCTCAAATTCCTGTTACATGACAAAACACCCAATTAGACATTAATCCGGAGGTTCATTAATCTCATAGGCATAGTGAGACTAATGCCATAAGGCACAAATTACTTAGACATCATAATGATAGGTTTTTATTTTCTGTCTTAGGAAAAATGTGACTTCTGTGCTATTGTCAAGTTGAGGGTTATGCTTCACAACTGATGTTGCTGAATGAGTGTATTTTTGTTGGTCTGACGTGTTCCCAGCAGTTACGATGCTGCTCCTTCTAGAAGGCTGGGGACCGTGTGTGTGTGTGAGCCATTATCTGTCCCCTTCTAGCATTAGAACCAGGGGTGCCAAAGCCAACATACAGGGTTGGCAGTAGTCTGGGCAGACAGCAGGTTCACTGGCAGGTGCTGAGGACTCCACCTTGGAGACTGGGGTTCAAGGACACAGCTCTGCTCCCTGGAAGGACTGAGAAAGCTTGGCAGGGCCCATAACCCAGAGAAATGGGAGCAGAGGAAGAAAAGGAAATAAGAGACCCAGACCTAGGAGAGGAAATAAATCACAACCAGATCTGGGGTCACAGAAAAGAGGGCCAGAGATGGGCTCTTAGGGAGCCAAGAGGGCTCCGGGAGGAAGACAGAGAAGCTTGAAGAGTGAGGACTGGATGTTGACACTGAGCTGAAAGGTCCTAAGAGCAGCATTGGTTCTAGAATCCAGCCCAGGCTGAACCAAGAGTGGAGGCTAAGTGGCTCTTATGTCAAAGGGCAACACACAAAGCCAAGTTTCATCATTACACAGTTGAATCCAAAGCAGCTGAGTTTTTTGAAAAAATTCTTTTTAGATATGGGGTCTTGCTATGTTGCCCAGGCTGATCTCAAATGCCTGGGCCAAAGTGATCCTCCTGCTTCAGCTTCCCAAAGTTCTGGGATTACAGGCATAAGCCACCACACCCGGCATGAGTTTTTGATTATAATTTTTCTCTTATCACATTTTCCCATTTTTATACAAGTGTCCTGTAATTCTCTCAATTGGCCAAGGTATGTGTATTTATTTAAAATATGTAAAGAATGTTTATCTCCATATAGTGAAACGAGTACTTTGGAATTGAGGCTAAAGACCTAAGTTCCTGCATTCTGCCACTAACCAGCTGAGTGACTTTGTGCAATTGATTTAACTTTTCAGGGCCTCCTTTCTTTATTTTTAATCTACAACATTAGGACTTTTTTTAAGTCATCTCTAAGGATCCTTTAAATTGGGACATTTTTTGATTCTATGAGCATATATCAAGGTGGCCTTTGAGCTTCCGCAGACAGATGGTCAAACTGAAACTGGAGGACAGTCCCCTTTTCATCTTTGCTGGGTGGACACAACTGCAAGGCTGCGGGGACCCTGGCTGAGATTTCTGGAGCCCGGTGGCCTTCCAGGGCAGGACAGTGGGAGCAGCCTTCCCTGGGTGCAGGCAATAAGGGGTTCATTGTCTGCAGAGAAGACAGAAACAATAATCAAACCAACTTAAAGTCGGTCAGCTTCTTATTATCACTGTTTTACTGGCAACTCAACAATTTTGGTGATGAGATACTCCTCCCCCTAAAAATATTTTGTTGGTTACGTTCTAAACCAGGGGTCTTCAGACTTTTTCAACAGGGGGCCAGTTCACTGTCCCAGTTCACTGACCGTTGGAGAGTGTGCACTGTGGGCCCGGGATGAGTCGGCTGCTAAGCAGGACAGGCAGCGTTGGCAAAAGCACCCGGAGGGCCGGATAAATGTGCTAGGCGGCCCGCATGTGGCCCTTGGGCTGTAGTTTGAGGACACCTGTTCTAAACCATTGCTACAGTTACTGTTGAGTTTTAATAACTTACATGTAGGCTTTAAGTTAGCCTATGTTTAGTACTTACTCTTTAGTAAACGCCATTCTATTAATACATGGATGTTGTTAGCCCCCAATAAATGTAGATTCCCCTCAATGCATTTGTGTTGAGAGAGAGTTCATTGTGGTTTAAAATCTTTTGAGTGCAATTTCAATATGGTTCGTGTCTCCAGTCCCTGGAAGACCACATACATATTCCTACGTTTAAATAGTAGATGCAAAATGAGCGATGATAACAGAGAGATTGCAAAGACCAGAGACAAACTCAAGGGCCTTCAGTTCTTCCATTGTATGTGACCACTTGGAAATTGTGAGACTGTGTGTGAACTACAGGGAATAATAACTTTTGTAAGGACAAATGTTAGTTCATAAAATATTTTGCCAAATTTGAATGATTTATTTGATGCTGAAATAGATTTCTTTTTAATTGCTTTAAAACTAAAGAATGAATCAAGAAAATGGTGGTCACTACATGATTATTACTGGGAATAATTTTGACATAGGAGGAGGGAAGTGTTGAAAAGTTACCTGCTATAGGTTATCAAGGGCTCTGTGAATGCCACTGCTGTCACCCACTGCCCTGTCCTCACGTTCCTACAGTTACTGGCCAACACCCTCCCAAGAACAAACGTCCAAAGGAACAAGGGGAAAATAGAATCAAACCTGCCAACAAAAAGGTGAAGCCCAAAACTCCTAAAATAAAGGACAGGGACTCGGCTGACGCCACACCAAAGACACAGTCTATAATGATCCAAGTGATGGATAAAGGTCGCTTCCAGAAGCCTGCTGCTACCCTGAGTCTGACAGCAGGACAAACCGTAGAGCTTCGCTGTAAAGGGAGTAAAATCGGATGGAGCTATCCCGCGTATCTTGACACCTTTAAGGACTCTCGTCTCAGGTAAGCATTTAAAAATAAATTTTTTTTTTTTTTTTTTTGCTTGTGTTGGGAAAAGAGTTTCATTTCGATCCTTCATTAAATATTACATTGTTTCTGACATCTACCATTTCACCTTAATAGATGATAAAAATGGACACTCAATGAGCAAAAGTTATAATAGACTTTATTTCTTTGCCCAGTTAAAAAAATACTGCAAATCCTACCAACATTGGTTGAAAGGGTGACATTTTATAGGAAACTATAATACATGATAATTTTATATGAAAACATGACAAGAGGAAAATGTATTGAAAACCAAAATTTTATAGAAAACTGTAATGCATAAAGATGGAAATTTAAGAATTGTGAAAAATAATGGACTTACTCTTTTACGTTGTTTTTTTTAAGTTATCGTAATGGAAACTGAATTGATCTGACAGATTCCTATGAGCAACTTGACCAGACACCACGTTGAACAAGTTTTAAACTTTTTGACTGCTCATGATGAGTCTTACTTTTGTGAATATGACTTTTTAGATACAGATGCAATTGGTAGGACAAAGATTTCTCATGTTTGCATGGGCACCTTTCAGGAGGCTGGTGGGCTTCTTATTCAGGAAAAGTGGTGAAGATGATGGCTATGACAACAGTGACGAGTGAGAAAGGCTACGTGAGAGGAGCCCTGAGCACTGGCTAGGGCTTAGAGGATGTGCATGGGTTAGAGTCCTTGTGTATCTTTGGTTTGCTTCACTTAGCATAATGCCCTCAAAGTTCTTTCACATTGTAGCACATAATGGGATTTCCCTTTTGTGTAAGGCTGAGTAGTACTCATTGTATGTATATACATGTTTTTATCCATCCTTCCAGACAGTGAAGGACATTTAGGTTGCTACTAACTTCTGGCAATTGTGAACAATACTGCAATGAGCATGGTTGTGTACATGTCTCCTTGTGATTCTGCTTTCAATTCTTTTGGATATACACCCAGATGTGTGATTTACCATATACATTTTAAATGACCTTATTAAACAAAGGGAGATTCACACTTTGGGGAAAAAAAAGAATTGATATATATGTATATATATACATATATATATTTTTCAAATTATTCTGAACATTTAGCCTTTGACTTACAAAAAGTATCTTAAACTTAGAAGATTTGGTACTTGACGATTTAGTATTTTTCTAAGAGTATTTTCAATGTCATAGCTAAATTATATATTAAAATATGTTTGAAAACATTTTAAGGAGCCAAAGTGAAATGAGCATGAACCTTGAATTGAAACGTCCAGACCTAAAAAACCAATCTTGACCTTTTTTTTTTTTTTTTTTCCCAATCTTGACTTTTTAACATGAGTGTTCATTCAAAGTACAATAAGGGCATTATAAATAAGCAAAGACAGATGTGGGCCCCCCAAAACCTCAGGAAACATGTGAAAATATGAAAAACATGTAGTCATACTCTATATTAAACAACAACAACAACAAAAATCATGATTTATTTGACACCAGAGATTCAAGAAGTGGACTCTTGACATCTTTCCCAGAATGCGGTGTGTTTGGACGGAGAAGTATTCCGCCTGCGTTTTCTTTTCCTGTGGAATGAATTCTTTCTAACGCTATGATAGTTCTGGGGTTGGAAGCTTCCCAGGTGTTTTTCTGACAAAGCCTTGTAGTTTTCACTAACATCAGTGGCTTTCTGGAACTAAGTTCACATGTTACCATGTTGCTTCCAATTTAATCTTCTGATCATCTTCTTCTATGGTGTGAGATGTTCCTTGTCACTAATCTATAAAAGCCCAACAGGGAGAGCAATTCACTAAGAAGATAGAGGTCTAATGAGAATCGTGGAGCCCCAGGAAGTGAAACTGGACCCAAGTAGAGAGAAATGCTTATACATTTGTTTTTTCCCAAAGAGCTGGAGGAATGTTGTCAATGCTTATCAAATAGATGAATGAATTAATATGTTTGGCTTTGTTCATCAAGGCATAAAACTTCTTGGTAAATGATTAAAACATATCGAGAAAGGAAAATTAATGTTATCCCATTATAATTTGGTATCTCTGTAGGACTGAATGATGAAGATATCCATCTCTTCCTGTTGATTTTTCAAGGTGGTATTTTAGCATGCATGCTGCCTCAGTTTCTTAGCCTGTAAAACAAGATGGTCTCTAAGGACCCTCTCAACTATGAATGTGAGATTTGAGAAAATGGTTTTAAATCAATATTTCAGTAAGTTCACATATAATTTTATAGAGATTTTATAGAGATCTATTTATAGTATACTTATTTATCATTTCAATAGCAATATGGCATTCCATCAGTGTAATATTGTTTTCTTACCCGGTTCCTAGTTTATGGCTGTTTGAGAAGTTTGTACTATCATAAATAGTGCAACTATAAACATTTTTACATTAAACACTTGCTGTGATTATTTATATGTCTAACAGTAAGAGAAGGAAAATGTCTAAATTCCTCAATCAAATCATAAGGATGAATATGTTATTTCCTATTAAAGGAATTTTCATGTCTATGAAAATAATTACATGTTATTTAAATGATACATGTTTGAAAAAATTTTAAGGACCCAAAGTGAAGTGGCTTTGTTGGAAAAGCACCTGGGGAGCTTGTGACCCCAGAGCTATCATAAGAATTCATTCCACGGGAAAAGAAAATGCAGGCTGAGTACTTCTCCATCCAACATCCAAAGAGGGAGCACGTTGTGGAACAGAAAGACCAGATTGAGGCACAGCTAGATTTGAAACCTGCCTTTACCACTAACCAGCAAAGCGATCTTTGATCAGATATTTCCCTAGAAACCAATTTTCTGATCTGGAATATGTATATAATATTACCTACCTATTACAAGCAATGCCTGGCCCATTATATTGGTAGGTGTTTAATAAATCATAACTAATTGTTACTAGGCAAAGCATATTTCTCAAGCACCATAATCCAAGTGATCTTCTGGAACACTTCTGACCAAGATTAGCACAAGGGAGGGAATTGTGCACAGCCAACATGGCTGCTGATATACAGGATCCAAGATAGTTTGTACACCTCTTTTCCAACAATGTACTTCTATTAGTCAATTCTTTGTAACTGGAAATAATTTTTTGGTTCCTCCAGGGCTTTAGTGTTCATGGAAGTCAGTTCTTAGTCATGCATTCATTCACTCAACATTTAAAGATCATAACTTAGTGTTGACGCATGCACTCCAGGTAGGGGGGGAGGGGAGGATCTGCTAGGCAAACAACAGAGTATTAATGTATTTTATGTCTGTCGCGTTGTGCCACTTGAATCTGTCCTCACTGTTGCTTGACCTTGTGGAGCCATGAGTCAGTCAACTTCTCTTCTTCCATCTTTATCCACACTGCCCTCTTCTGTCTTCACTTCTCTCTCCATTCATTTCAGCTTCTGGGGTATAGGATTTCTATTAAACTCTTGAACCTGCCCTAAGTTCCTTTGCTCTCTGTTCTTCCTTCATTCCCACTTGGAAACTTCCAGCCCCAAATGAACCTTCCACTTACTTTCTCTTGCCCATGCATGGCTGCTGAGTACTGTGGGAGGAAACCACTCAGTTGGCCATTGGGGTGTCCATTTGACTCTGGTCACCTTGATATTCTGCCTGGTAAAGCTGAATACAATTCTCTAGAGAGCTCACTTTTTTCCTCTTCTTAAAACTTGGAGTTCCTCCATCTCTCTCTCTCTCTCTTTCAGCTAATGGAGTTATCACCTAATTTATTGAGAAGCTGGAGCTCCAATTGCCTTGGCTTCCTCTTAATTCTACTCCTTCCCTGTTCTGCCAATGACAGTGGAAGGCAGGGAGGGGTATCTCCTCCTGACTAAGGACAAAGCTCTATCCTGGCTCTCATGCCTACCTCCATTTTCAATCCCCTATCTTGTGGGTCTTCAACCTGTCCTCCTTGACTGGATCCTTTTCGTAAGTCTCCACCAAATTGGGAATTTCTGCCTTGACTTCCATGCATCCCTCCAATCACCTTCCTCTTTCTTCTTACCTTCACAGCCAGGTGCCTAGAAGAAGTGATTCTCACTGTGTTAACTTCTTCCTCCTGTTCACTCTTCAGTTACTCCACCTGGCCCCATTACTCCACATGCATTTGATTACCAAGGTCAACAGGGCACTAAATCCAGAGTTCACTTTTCCATCCCCATGTGACTTGCTGTACCAAGTCCATCCAGCAGATGGCAGCATTCTCCTCTTGGCATCCACTGTGCCGTGCTTGTCTGGTCTTCTTTCTTGGGTTTCTGTCTGTCTCGGCAGCTGTGAATCCTCTGCTCTCCCAGACATTAAATGTTGGTTCTGTGCCCTCTTCTCTTCTAACTAGATGCTGCCAAATGCCCTCGATTTATCTGACATTATAGTTAAATGTTTGTATTGAGCACTCCCAACTGCCTGCTGACTACAGTCACTTGGATCTTTCATGAGTCTGTCTTAACCATCTAAATAAAATCTTCTGCACACCTGGGCATCCTCCTGTGTCTGTCAGTTCAGCGAATGGCAGTAACTCCATCCAGTTGTCCTTGACCAGAGGCTAGGAATCACCTTGGATACTTCCCCTTTTCACTTCCACATCCAAGCAATGACACTGTGGAGTGAGGGCAAACTTCCCCTTTCTCCCTAAAAATTCACTGAAAGATCAACTCACCGTTAATGCAGATTAATAAGAGATTTATTTACTGTGTGCACAGGGAGAATCACAGAGCGATTACCCAATATCCCATTGAGGTCCAGAAATTTTATACCTTCCTTTGGGGGGGTGGGGCATGAGGAATATAGGTAATTCTGATTAGGGGCAATAAATGGAGAGTGAATGCATGGTGGAAACAGATTGACTTGTAAATGAGCCTCTTTGCAAATCAAATTAACCTGAGAAAGTATTATATTCAAAATGATTTGGGCCAGATCTGCTTGAGTTCTTGCTGTTTCCTGCAATATGGTGAGCTAACAGGGAAGGGAAGTCAATTGGTCTTTTGACGGCTCTGTCTGGTTTAGGCAG